TTCCCGCTGGAGGATCGGTGGCGCTTGGCTAGAGGCTCCTCCTTGGGGATCGGGAGCGGTGCGACGCCCTTGCCTTTGGGCGTGGCAGTCATGAGGTCGTGGAGGTAGGGACTCTGGGCCGCTTTGGTTAGGAGTGTGCCCGTGGCGGGGCTGAAGCCGCCACCACGGGCTGGCGGCGTCACAGGCTCTGTGATAGTGGTAGGGGTGACAATGGCAACGTTGTCCCTCTTCGGCACCACCTCAGCCAACGGGGCCTCGGTGATGCTCCACGGGATGGGGCACCCTGCGACCTGTACCGTATATGTGGGTGGGGGACGATGGGCGCGCACTAAGGCAAACTGAGCCGAAGTGGCTGGGTCCCAGGCGGTGTGGTAGACCTCACAGTCCCATTTGACGGACGGGCCCGTGAGAGTCTTAGCAAGCTGGGTCAGCGTGGCGTGGCGTGCCGCAATGCCAGTAATGCGGTATCGCGTCTTGGCGAGGGTGGCTTCACAGCCACGGATGCTGACGGCAGCAGCCTTGGCGGCGTCTGACCCTCGTGCAACACGGATCCCCAATAAGCCTGACTTGCCGTGCCTGACGACTCCTAGGGCCTTGAAGTCCACCGACTTCTGGAACGCATCTGCCATCGTGATGGGCTGGTCCTCAGGGAACCACACGGTCTGGTACTTGTCTGCAGTGGGCTCGTCTGCACCTACGTTGCTGAGGTCGTAGGTGGCGCCGAGTTGCCCTGAACCCGCCAAGACCTTGTCGACCGCTTGAAGACTGACGCCGAAGGTGGCAGCCAGGGACCTCTTTCCGACGCCCGATCCGTACCTGCCTAGGCTTTTGCAGGGTTCGAGGATGGTGACGGCTTTAAAGTTGCCGTGGAAGAGGGCCTTGAAGGTGTCCTGGAGCTGACTATCGAGCTCCTGGCGGCGAGCGTCTTTCTTGGACTCCCTGTGCTTTTGGTTTTGGCGCGCCTTGTCCTGTGGAGGGGTGTCCTTTCGGAAAGGACCCTTGGCGCGTGGACCACCGTTCACGGGGGCACCTCCCGAGAACTGATCCTCGAAGGCCTGATGCATGGAGGGGACTGCGGCGATGGCTTCGGTTTCATGTATGGTCACCCGAATCCAGCATACGTGGTCGGCAGGATCGATGGTGGCGACGGCAACTTTTTCCGTGCAGGCGACTTCCTTGGTGCCCAGCTGGTACACGGTCACGGGGACGTGCGTGTGGACCACTTTGGGCGCCTTGGGGTGACGCTTCAGCACGGGGACGGCGAGCTCGGTACCGACGTAGTTATCGTTTTTTTGGCCCATGACAGCAATCGCAAGCTGACCCGTGGTACGCTTACCCTGCTCGAGGTGGTGCTGCAGCAGCCGTTCACCGCTCTCGTAGTCGTGGAGGCTGATACTGGGCTTGTACGTCTTGCCGTCGTCGAGTGATGTGGGTTCGGCCAGGACTGGGACCTTCCAGAAGGCCGGGTCCAAGGCAATGAATTGGGCGTCCGCAGCCTGAAGACGTGCGGACGCAGCTGGTGGGTGTGATGTGTCACCACCACTGCGCTTAGGCTTGCTGCGCTGGTGGTGATCCAGCGTGTAGCTGATCTGGTTGGCGGCACACATGCGGATCAAGGCACTGCCGAGCTTCTTTGTGTTGGTCTTGTGCATGTCGTACGTGGCCTGCAGCTCGTCCGCGTTCAGCTCGGCGAGCCCGTTGTATGCGGCCGTGGGGCGGTCAGACCCCGCTTGCTTGAAAGCTGCAATGCAGTCCTGTTTGCGTTGGAGGAGAGACCCTTCAGCTGCAGGACGTGAGCTCGGCGGCTGCTTGGAAGAGCGACGGCGCTCCGGCTTGGCGGGGGCCATTGCGGCGGCCACTCTGGTGGGGGGGGGTAAGAGGTGACGCGAATCAGTAGGGTCCTGCTGGGACCCCTCCGGTCTCGCGAGGCCTGGGAGACTGGCTCCGAGGCGGGGCGCTTCGCGTCGCGGCTGCGGTCTGAGTGCAGGGCACTCTCGAGCCGAGACTAGAAGAGAGAGAGAGAGAGAGAGAGAGAGAGAGAGAGAGAGAGAGAGAGAGAGAGAGAGAGAGAGAGAGAGAGAGAGAGAGAGAGAGAGAGAGAGAGAGAGAGAGAGAGAGAGAGAGAGAGAGAGAGAGAGAGAGAGATCGTCGAGAAGGGGCCTCGAGACCAAGAGGTAGTCGATAACCCTCTTCCCGAACTGCCCCTGGGCCCCTTGGGGTATCACGAACGCGGCCTCCAAGTAGTTTTCGATGTCCGAAGTCCCGACCTGGTCGACCTCCACGTTCCAATCGGCAGCCCGGATGAAAGGAATACAAAGGGCCAGAATCTTACAGGATATCCCCTCCACCTTTTACATATTGGGCCCCGCGGGGCCATCCCCTTGGGCAAAGTAGGCTGACATAAACAGGATGCTCGCCCAGTGGGCGCGCAGCTCCCTGGCGGCCCGCCGCCCCTGGCCCTGAGCTGGAGTGGGCCACTCAGTTTGCCGAAGGCGGAGGGGGCGAGATGCAAGGTGGGGAGAGATCATAACCCACGTGCCTCCGTGCCCAAGCTGGCCTCCTACTTTAATGGCTCGAGCTTCACGGCCTTCCACCTGCCAGTGGTCTCGTCGAAGATGTCGAGCAGCTGCGTGAGAGTGTTCCCCCCGAAGATGAGTCTCTGCTCCCATCTGGATGTGGGTCTGGTGCTTGTGCCGAAGCTCCCCGATATACTTCTGGACCTGATCGGTCCACTTGGTGTAGTTACTGAAATAGAAAGTATCGTCATTCGTCTTTGCATGCTTCGGGTGTCCGCATTGCTTGCGCTCCTCTGGCTGCGGGGCCAGAGGTGCTCCCACTCGGTTGTTCTCCAGGGGCGCCTGGCTGTCGGGCTCCACCTCCTGGGTCTCCGACTGCTTGGGTTCGGGTGGTTCGTCTTCTCGCATAATTGCTGGCCGCCCACCCTGGACCTCATGTTGATCCTCGAGCTGGTCGAATAGATCATCCTCGTCATCCACGTTGGTCCTCCTGTGCTTGCCATCCGTCTCCTTCTGCGGCGCAGTGTTATCGGTTGGCGGTGTGTGAGCTGTAGGAGGAGGCGCGCTCTCGATATATGGGCTGGCATCCCCAGCTGTCTGCGACGGTCGGTACCATCTGGCCCCACTGCGCTGGTCTGGCAACGCTGAGCAGCGCGTGCCGACGGCCCCTGCCGACGGTCGGTACCCTCTGGCGTCACCTCGGTCAGCTGGCGGGGCTGGGCGGCGCGCGCCGTCGGAGGCCGAGGTGCCCGATGAGGAACCAGCCGCCCTCTGCGATGATGTCCTCCGCATCTGGGTTGACCGTGCCCCCATCCCCGAGGAGCGGGCCAGGTGGGGGAGGTGTCTAGGAACTTCGCGCGGCGACCTCTGCGACCCCTTTGGGGTCGTGAGTGCACCGCTCGTCAAGGATGGACCAGTCGACGACCTGGTCCAGCTCGAGGTTGGTCCCGTGTATGTCGTAGAGTAGGCCTTCCTCATCTGCGGCGACGTGGGGGACCCTTATCTGGTGTTAGTATGTCCTGTTGGGTATTCTCATTCCCCCTGTATGAATGAGCCGTACCTTCTCCAACATTGTGGGTCTGATCATGCTGTAGGTAGTTTCGGGCCCCTGGACGCTGCGCATCATCAGCCTCTGGTTCAACGTAGTAGTAGCTGGGGTGCTCTAGGAAACGCACCCGACGTGTTTTTGCAGGTGGCGTCGGCTGCGTGCTACCCGCGCTGCTTGACGTCGCTGCCCTTGCTGGCGCCCTTGCCCGCCAGGGCGGCGGCAGCCCGTTCCTTGGCGTTGGGCTGGGGCTGGGAGGTGGCGTCGGCGGCGACCGTTGCCCCTGAGTGGGCCCCTGGGGCGGCGGCGGGCTCGGCAATCGGGTGACCCCCTGAGGCGTGAGCTCCGTTGTCGCCGCCTGCAGCGCCAACAGCGGGGCCCCCAGGAGGAGCAGACTCTGCACGGGGCCGCTTGGCCTTGAGCCTCTGCTTCTGCGCCTCGTGGGCGGCCCTGGTGGCGTCGCACTTCTGCTTGGCTTCCTGGAGGAGCTGGGCGGCGCATGGAGGCCTTGAGCTCCTCCTTGCGCTTGGCAATCTCGGATTCGTCTTTTGCTCCCAACTCGCATTCATCTCCCATGTCGAACATCCCGCCGGCGTCGACGAGGTACTCGGCCTTGAGCTGCCCCTAAAGGGGGGCTTGGAGGTTGAGCTTGGCAGGGGCGGCGGTGGGTTTTTTGGCGCCGGCTGTGGCCTGGTACTCCTCCTCGAGGACGGCCTTGTAGGCGTTCTCCGCATCTGTGAAGTCGCTAACCAGCGCGTGAACGAGCTCAGCCTGCGCAGTAGTCTGCTTCTGGAGGTTGGCCAGAGTGTCCGTGGCTGCGTCGAGCTTCTTCTCGATCGCAGAAACCTTACGCTGGGTTTGTGCTGCTCGCTGGTGGACGGGGCGGACCACGCTGGCCTTGTCCAGCTCCGCCTGGTACTTGGCCGCCGTGGTGGCGTCGCCCATCTGAGTGGCAATGTCCACCAGCTTCTGGAGGTCGGCTGGCGAGACTGGGGATTGGCTCCTGCTGCACGCCCCTGGCTCCGAGTCCACCGGTTGGTACCTTTGCCCCCTTTCCCGTCAGCCCATGGCGTAAGTGCAGTGTCGGGATCGTGGTCGGCGACAGTGTTTGCACCAGGTCCAGTGCAAGAGGTTCTGGCCGCACCCGCACATACTGCACTTCCACCTCCCGTCAGCATGTCGGCCATGGGACATAGGCACGGGTCTGGTGGCGAGAGAAGCGCTCTGCGCAAACTGTGGTCTTCCGAGCACGGTGCCGCGGGACGAACCCCAAGCCGTCTGAGCCAGACAGCCTACGGAGGGGTCCAAAGCAAATCGCTGATTCTCGGGCGTCTACAGCCCTTCACAACGTTTAGCCTTGAACCAAAATGGCTACGGTTCCTCCTCCTCCTCCTCCTCCTTCTCCTCCTCCTCCCCCCATCCAACTGATGGTGGTGGTGGACAACAGGCCCATCACATGTGGTCGGCGAAGCGCCCGGGAGTGCACACGACCACGTCCGGCGGGTGCTCGCGGAGCCGGCGCTGCTCCTCCGCGAAGGAGCGCTGCCCCACGAGGCACTGCGCCGTCACCTCGAGGGGGCCCAGACATGATCTCGTCGGTAGCAAAACATTCGGGCGGGAAATGTTTGGCCAATTGCGGCCTCGGGAGGGGCCCTCCCTGGGCCTCGGAACCGTCAAAAAGCGACTCAGGATGAGAAACCGGTCCTCGGGAATGGGTCGAGACTTCTCGGGACAGCGCATTGAAAAGAAACACGACATTGGATATCTGGGAATGTGTTCCCACATGTTCTGGCTTCTCGTCTCCCCCCCACCATGTTCTGGGGAATCGACGATTCATGGTGTCTGTGTGTGTTTTTTTTGTTCCCTCCTGACACCTGCGACACCCCGGGCCCCAGGCCGCGCCTGAGGGTGTCGAACACCCGGAACACCTGCATGGCCAGGTCGCGGGTCGGCAGGAGCACGACCGCGCGCGGCACGGGGGCGAGCCTGTGGATGAGAGCCTGCACAATGGGCACGGCGTAGGCGAGCGTCTTCCCCTGGCCTGTCGGCGCGGCCACGCACACGTCGCACGAGTACGGCGAGTCCTCGTCGCACGCCGCCTCCGCGGCCCTGGCCAGCAGCGGCACCACGGCGGCCTGGATGGCGAAGAGCTGGCAGAAACCGGCCTTGCGCAGCGAGCGCTCCAGCGCGGGGTGCAGCGGCCAGGACAGCTCCTCCAGCGGCGTCGCGGCCCCCGACGCGTCCACCACGTGGTACCGGGAGGTCCTGGGGAAGCCAAGAGGCACCGATGCCGCTGCTCCCCTGGACCTCTCCTGGGATGCTTTCTGACCAGGATTTCGAAGCGAATCCAGCGGTGGGGACGAGGGCCGCCCAGGAGGCCCAAAGAACGGAAAACGAGGCGAGGGTAGGGGTAGGGGAGGAGGAGGAGGAGGAAGAGTAGGAGGAGAGGAGGAGGAGGAGGAGGAGGAGGAGGAGGAGAGGAGGAGGAGGGAGGAGGAGGAGAAGGAGAGGAGGAGGAGAGAGGGGGGAGGAGGAGGAGGAGGGAGGATGGGGGAGGAGGAGGAGGAGGGGAGGAGGAGGACGAGGAGGAGGACGGGGAGGAGGAGGAGGAGGAGGATGAGGAGGAGGAGGAGGAGGAGGAGGAGGAGGAGGAGGAGGAGGAGGAGGAGGAGGAGGAGGAGGAGGAGGAGGGGGAGGAAGGAGGGGAGGAGGAGGAGGAGGAGGAGGAGGAGGAGGAGGGGAGGAGGAGGGGAGGAGGAGAGGAGGAGGAGGGAGGAGGAGGGGGAGAGGGAGGAGGAGGAGGAAGGAGGAGGAGGAGGAGGAGGAGGAGGAGGAGGAGGAGGAGGCGGAGGGGGAGGAGGGAGGAGGAGGAGGAGGAGGAGGAGGAGGAGGAGGAGGAGGAGGGAGGAGGAGGAGGAGGAGAGCAGGAGGAGGACGAGAAGGAGGAGGGGGAGGAGGGGCAGGAGGAGGAGGAGGAGGAGGAGGAGGAGGAGGAGGAGGAGGAGGAGTGTGGCAGCAGCAGAGCACACTGGACACTTTTCCCTTGAGCCAAAGTACCGTCCACGGGTGCAAACATGCGTACAACACTAAACGCTAAACCTGAACGCAACGGATAGAGAAAATTACTGATCAGTCACACGGGTCAGACTTTCTAGCAGGTTTAGCACCCCCAGCTGTCGGCCCCTGTGGCCTGCAGCTGTCTGGTCAGGATCTGCCTGACCCCCCCTGTGGAGAAGAAAGGAAAAGTGGGGCTACTGGAAGATAGACAGACGATTGGAATAGAGAGAGAGAGAGAGGGGGAGGAGGAGGAGGACCACCACCACCACCACCACCACCAGGACCTGGAGCCTGACTGCGAAGGTCTTCCCAGGTGATCATGTCCAACTCCTTCCTGGATGCTGCCTGGGTCCTACTCTTAAGCTCGGGCTGGTCTCGTCTACGCTCCAACTCCTCGGGCTCATCGACTAAAACCAGACGACCGCTGACCATTAGGTCGAAGAGCGCAGCGTTGCACTTCGACACGTCGTCTTTGGTCAGTGCGTCCACCGGCATTCTCCCGTGAGGGACCCATCGTACACGACCCTGGGCCCTCTCAAGGGCCTCGCTGATGATAGCCAGGTCGATTGCCGTTCTTCGGTCCCGGGCCCCCGCGTTCCCCTCCTTGAGCATTGTGTCGTAAATAGATTTAGCATCTACTACATGTACCTGCTCTTCTCGGGCGCCTAATCGACAGTCGCGCCGAAGCACAGTCGTAAATGGCCCAGAGCCCCGGTGGTAGTCTTGAACGTCCACGTCTCTGAACATCACATCCCGGTACATGATTTGTAGATACTCTACTTCTGCTACCGCCGAGGAAAGAGCCTGGGTTTCACCGGCCAGGGTAGAGGGGACCTTTCTGCGCAACTTCGAGCTCCTCCATCCTAGGATGGATGCCTTGACGGACCGGTTCGCCAGCACACTCTTGTCCGCCGCCAGGACCATCCATGCCCCTTGGGTAGGGTCTTCTGGAAGGCCCTTGTCATCTGTCATGTTCTCGGCTGCACCGACTCCGCCGGCGTCGGAGAAAGACATAAATGACATGTTTTCAGGATCCAGTTTCCAGACAGTGATACCCCTTGAGGCTGTGGTCCTCAAGTGCTTGACAAGCTTATTTGCCAGGGAAACGTCGCCGGTGGTCGGGGCCTTGAGTCGACTCGCCAATATGCTGGCGACCCCTGCCGCCTCAGGGCGGCTCCCCCTACCTACCCAGTTGAACTTATACACAAGTGAGCGTAAAGCTTTGAACTCGGAAGAGTCCAGGGGCGAGTCTTTCCTCGTGAGGCGGCCTCGGGCAAGAGGGAGCGGTCGGATTTCTTCAAGGATATATTTTCCTGATCAATGACAGCACGCCGAGAATTCAGGGAGATCCGGCGCCCTGCGTACTCGACCGGTCCAGCCTGCAAGTCACGATATTTTCCAAACTTGAATCTGGATTCGAGCAAATCCCTAAGCCATGACCGTGACTCCTCCGACGAACTCCCGATAAAGAAGTCATCGACCTCTAGCAGCATCATGTTCAGCACTTCCCCCTTTGGACCGTATCGGATCCACCAACAAGGCTCTAATAGACATCGAGTGAACCCGTGTTTCTCGAGAAAGCTAACCACTGTTTTCCTCCAGGCGACGGGGGCATCATCTAGTCCGTACACGTTAACCTTCAAGAGTATGAGACTGCCCCTGGGTATATCTATTCCATCACAGGGCTCGACATATATATATATATATATATATCGCCCTGAGGCCGTGATATTGGATCTGACTGGCAGAACGCGTTTTTGACGTCTGCGATGTCGGCCAGGAGGGAGAGATTCATGATGATCTGAATAAACATCATGATGCTGCTGGTCTGAGGGGTGGGGGAATAAACCTGGAGAGAGCCCGAATCTGGATCTCTATGTCCATGCACGCACCAGCGTGATTTGGCATCCGGGTTGGTGAATGTGCCCCCAACTGGTTTCCACCGACGAACCATCCGACTCGAGATGATGCGCTCGGGTTGCGCCTTGCGCACCGCATCCGCCTTCTTGGGCGAGATGATTTCGACGGCTCCGGTCGCCATCATCGCGTCCCACTCTTTCTTATCAGAGATGGCAAACTTAGCGCGTTCGGAGGGGGTCAGATTCTTCAGGGTAACCCCCCCCCCCCTGCTGGCCACGAACGTGCCATCCCCTTGGTCCCCGAGGCCTGGCTCGCACTCCTGGACAGGCCTGGCCAGGAGACCACCACCGACACCACCACCGGGGAGGAGGAGGAAATCCTCGGTCCTTCCTCTGTCCTCTTCCTCCCAGACCGTCGGGGCTGACGGCGAGCGGCTCCGCTCCCGCCTGCCCTCGATCTCCCGCACCCGGTCGGCGACGGGCACATGAGGCTCGTGGCTCGTGATGACTGCCGGCCTCGAGGCGGGAGTCGGGGGCTCCTCGGCGCGGGCGCGCTTGACCTCGGGGGGTGAGCTCGATGCCCTCGCCTCGGCCGTGCGTGACCGAATGCAATGGGGGACATCATTCGGTTGGGAGAGACGAGCACGAGCGGGGGAGGGAGCGGGAGAGGGAAGAGGAGGAGAAGGAGGAGGAGGAGCGAAAGGGGAGAGCGGGGAGACCTCCCTCGCCCCGTTCGGGTGCTCCTCGGGCTCTCCGGACACCTCCCTGGACATCTCAGGTGATGCCTGGGGAGGGGTGCTTTGAGCCTCCTCCGGCACGGATGGCAAACGTGTCCGTTCGCTCCCGGGCTGAACTGAGACGGAGCCTGCCTCGGAGGGCGCTCGAGGTCTCCAGCCTGGCCTGGCGCTCCTGGAGCCAGGACTTGGGCCCATCGCAGATGGCCCTGGCCCGGGGTCGTCTTGCTCCTCGGCAGGAGCTGGTCCCACTCCTGGCACCCTGGGCGCGGAATCTTCCTGGACCCGGACCGCGTCATCCCACGCCTCGTCGGGTGGTGGGCCCTCCCGTTGAACGTCCACAGCTGCACCTCGCCGAGTCTGAGATTGTCGCAACAGCTCTTGCCATTGGGGGCTCTGAGAGAGCTGAACTCCCAACTCCTCATCGACGCTCGCCAGCCTCACCTGTTCCACCGAGCACTTCCAAAGACGCGCACGGACGGCCACCCACACCGTACTACCCTCGCACAGAACCACCACTCCGGGGCCGCACCACCCGTCTCTTCTACGACCCAGAGCGTCCGCTCGGGATGAGGTGCGGGTGAGATGCCTCCACACGTAGACCCACTGTCCTGGGCTGAAGGTCTTGGGGGCAGGGGCCCTGGCGTGCGAGGCGCGGTTCACCTTGTCTCTAGAGGTGGCCTCCATCGCCAATCTTCGCGCTGCCTCTCGCACCCTCTGGGCCCTGGCAAACTCGGTCCCGGGACCGTCGTGCTCGGAAGGTGAGCACAGCATGTCCTGCCATCCTGGAATGGCGATGTCGTCAGAGAGGAGCTCATGAGGAAGTCGAGGGTTTTCCCCGAACACGAGCTGCATGGGTGAGAACCCCCCTCGGTGCCAGTATCGGTTTTTGTGAGACACGAGCTCATAGAGGAGCTCATCCAAGTCTTCAATACAACTGATCACTGAGGCCCCCGCCTCCACCTCCGCCTTGATGCGATCCTTGACCCAGCCCCCGTGGCGTTCAACGCGCCCGTTCTGCCAGGGTGAGTCCGCATCACACACGTGGTGCCGAACCCCCCATTGTTCCAGACCCCGCGCGAACCGCTCCCCGAATTCGGATCCCCCGTCGGACATCAGAAAATGGGGGCACCAAATGGCCGCAGCCAACACTCGCTAAACGCTCTCCAGACATCAGCGGCACGAGGGTGGGGTATGCGGGTACACACTTGCAGATTGGACCCGTGGTCCACTATGTTGAGCACGGGGTGTGTCTGACCCTGAAACTCGATATAGAACAGGTCTACTGCAATGATGTGATTGAATCGGAAGGTCCGAGGGAGAGCAACCCTACGGTGGCTGCTGGACTTCTGCCGCTCCTGACACTCGGCACACCGAAACCCTTTAAGCGCCCACCTGACGAGGTGCCTCTTGACCCCGCCGGCTCGCAAGACGCGGCAGAAACGTCGGACCTCGGGATGCCCCATATTCACGTGCAGCTTATAGATCAGCCTCTTTTCTTCTTCAGACGGGTCGATCTCGGCCTCCTTGAGGCCTTGGGGCCCGGTCGGTCCCCGGGTCTCCTGCTCATCGCCGCTGTCCTCGGAGGCTTCGCCGGCTTCCTCCTCGGCCCTTC